CTGGTGGTTAACAGGCTGCTGCAGAGCTGCAGGTGTGTTGAAGAAGGTAAACAACTAAAACCTGCTGGATAGTGGCCTTTGAGGAGCAAGATGGCCCACCCCTGGTCTGAATGGTCCCCTCCTTGAACCGACATCATACAGTGGAGCTCTGCTGCTCTTGCCGTGTAATCTCTGGTGGGGTTTGTCAAAGCGGTTCCAGCCTCCAGGTGAAGGGAGAGATAAAGATGATTAATGGAGAAAACAACAGAGAACCAATGGCCCAGATGGTTATGGGGTTCCTACCAGGGGCGGCGTTAGGCCCGGCTACTTGGGCTCAAGCCCCGGATGTTTCATGAAAAGCCCCGGATCTAAATCGCGGAAGTAACATGCAGTACCAAAGTCCAACAGAGAGGGAGCAGCTGGCAGTAGTTTGTATACAGCCTGCCTGAGCCTCCACCACCGAAGAAGAAGCTCTTCAGCAGCCGGCTTCTTCTACACTCTCTGCCTGAAACGCATGAGTGAAGATGGACATAAGGACGTTTTTAGACCAAAAGTACAACGACAGAACCCCAGCTCTGATGAGACTGGTGCTGACTCAGGTTTGTGAGTCTTATTTGAAAATATTTGTTGTGCTGCTGGTTTGCCTAAAGTTAGCTTATCAGGTAAAGTTGTTGGAGAAAGAAAGGGAATATTTACTATCATCTCACACTAAACACTAACAGGAACAATACTCTGCCCTGAAAATGCTTAATATGTAGCTTCAGATTAAAAATTATGTGGTACAAGACAAATATATATGATGTTGACTAGTGTGTGTCACGTGTGTGTGCGTGTGTTAAGCCCCGGATGTTCTTCAGTCTTTAATCCGCCCCTGGTTCCTACCATGGAGCCAGGCCCAGGTTCAGGTGTCTAGTGGCTTGAGCCTAAACCCTGACCCGGTGTTCTGACTGTCCATGCTTCCTCGTCGAATATTCCTACCGCAGCGTGTTGCAACAGTTTCGCTCTTGTTTACTGCATAGTAAAACGCCTATTAAGCATGGTTGATTTTAAATTGTTGATATTACTCAAAAATACAGAACTGTAGTACAATTATTAGCCAAAATAGACAGTGTTTGTCATGATTCCGTGAATGATGGTAAACAATGGGAGACATATCTTGTTTACAGTTGTTTACGAGCCATTTACAAGCTAATTGCTACAACAAGCAGCAATATAACAACTTCCAGAGGTGGCGCATCTCTTCAGGTAAACAGCCTGCGACGTAGTAGTTGGTCTGCGCATTTCACCATTAGCACGGATAGTCGGAACACCGGTTACGTCATCCTCTGGTGAACCCAACGCCTGCAGGTGGAACATAAAGGAACCACTATTACTGAGCAGGTCGGCAGACAAAGGCAGAAGGACAGGTGGTCCAAGCCCTGGACACAAAAGATGTGGGATGTCTGGATCTCTGGTGGCGATAAAACCAGACGCACAAAAACAGCTGAAAACGGGATGGTGGACCACGTCTGGCAATAAGGAGCAACTAAAAGGGCTGGAAGGTAAAGAAACAAACCCTGTGGGTAGAACCAAAGCACCCACGTGTTTTATTTATTGCTCTGTAAGGTTAGAAACAACCTCAGCCTGGTGACTTTTGTTATTTTCCGGCCTTGTTTTGCTCTTTGGTTGTAAAACACAGAGCTCGTGTTCACCTCTACACGTGTGCGGGGCACAGAGCCAGATTACCAAGGTGAGAGAGCGAGGAGGATGAGAGAGGAGAGAGGAGGAGCAGCTGAGGGGATGCGGGATGCTGAGATGGGACCAGTTCTGGTATTGGTGTTTGTCAGTTCAAGGGCTTTTCCCATCATGTTCCAGTGTCCTGCAGAGATGAATCTGCTGACAGCAGAAAGCTCCACTCAGCCGGGTCAGTCTCTTCCAGGTCTCCCGTCAGCTCGCTGAGACCCTGACAAAAGGAACACTGAAGGCTGACAGAACAGGGAAGAAACATGGGCATTAAACTGCTGAAGGTCACATCAAAGGGCAAAAGAGAGTAAACCATATTCGTAAGAGCACTCACAGGAACTGGGCCAGACAACAAAACCAGGTTCAACACCAGTCATCAGAAACCCAGCTGTGTTTCTTCTTTCTATGGTGACACTGGCCTGGGTCAGTTCACCTGCAAATCAGAAAATCACAGCCCTCCAAACCGTGATCCAGATCCAAGCCTCAGGGCAGACAAAGGCGGAAAACCCAAAATGCCTCAGAACCATGGGACCGGTCAGGGTGAGGCAGGGCACTTGGTCAGAGGCAGGCACGGCTCAGGTACATTCTCTTTGTTATGCTAAATGGTCAAACCCTCTCAGGTTTCTGAAGAGGTTTCCACCACCGCCATCTTGGCCACTTCTTGGGTTTCGTCACTCCTGAAAAATACAAAAATGGGCAATAAGGTGGAGTCAAGAGAGGTCTGTGAGGGTGAGGACAGATTAATGATACCCATCAAAGCGAGCCGATAGCTACGGGCTAGCCGAGCTAACCAAAGCTA